AGAAACAAACACATACACATACGAACAGAACTTCGCGACATATTATGCGGAAACAACAGCACCATGCGAGGTGCAAATATATACACATACACCAGGACAGCTCAATTACTGCGAAAAGAATCATATGATATTTAACACACCGTTATGGATAGCATTGACGGAGGAGCAAGCGTGGCTCTACTTCACGGCATATAAGCAGGAAATTAGCATTAAGTGCGAAAAGCAAATAGAAGAGAAAATTATATTAGAAGAAACCAGAAAAATAAAACTAAAAGATAATTGCAAACTAATCACACCAAACGTAATATTAAAAGCGCGAAAAATTGAAGGAATAAAATATATCCAAAACTACCTCCTCGAGTACAATATAACATTAGAAATAAAAAATAGAGACACCGATAAGAATAAGCTAGCGAAAACCGACACGACAAATAATTAAGAACCCCGTAGATTTAACTAAATTAAGCGTAAATCTAGAAGAAATAAGAGAAACTCTAGAAGATAGCGATTATAACTTACTCAAAAATAAATACACATATACCCTATGGGAACAGGCACCTGCGTAGTAATAATAATTATAATAGGATTAATAACATGGCGCACAAACAAAAACAAAAATAAAAAGCAAAAGAAAAGCGAAATGACCGCACAGAGACGCCGCGACGATGCTATGTTGTATTAGTCATAAGCATACGATTATATTACAGTTACGCGACAACATATGTAAACTAGTAAGATCACCTTCCATCGAAGGGGGAGGGATGCCGCGAACACCAAGTAAAAGACACATGGAATTCGAAACCCTCCGTGGTTCCCTTTTATCAAAGGGGGAGGGATGTCGCGAGCGCCGAGAACGTAATCACGCCCATCGCTGACAAAGCGGATTGCGGCAAGCGATACTTTATCCGACGAATTATTATTTTATCAAGCGATAGCCATTACCAACGCTACTGTGCTAATCGCGTGCTAATCGTCATTTATTGTGTAACCGCTCCATGTGAAGCAACTGCTAACCGGGTTGCGCGGCCCTTACGCGGAAAGCCGCCGCGCGACCCAGAAATATATCGCGAACGCTGACGAACATTTTGATGGCACGGCAAGGACCGGCCGCCTGGAACAGGATAAAAACGGGAGACCGATACTAGGAGAGGACTCGTCGAGATCCGCCTTGCCGTCACGTCTGTCGCGATCCGAATTAAAAAGGACAACCTGTATCAATTTTTTAATAAAGTTTATTGAGTATCGAACAAAATGGTGAGCGCCTCTTTCCCGTCGACTCCTTGATCGATCCCCGAAACGACCCGCGCAACAATATCATTAGAAGATGCACCACTTATTTTAGATTGTTTTATTTTATTTAAATGTTTTAAATATTAAAATCATAAATTATTAATCTTTTTCTTTATAATTTCCGTTGTTATTGATTATTGCGTTATATTTTTGTATTGCTCGCTAATTATTTTTAATGCTTTTTTGCGTTCGATTATAGTAATCTATAGATTTTTCTATTACTAATCTGCAGATTTTATAATATATAAACAAGAATGTTGTTGATATAATAATATTAATGTTTTTATATTATCTTTATCCATGTTCATCTAAAATATAATTTTAATAACAATATATTAATACACATATATATAAAATTCTTATTTCAATATCACAATATGGGTTTTTAATGTAATTAATTTATTATATTCAAGATTAGTTATTAATTAGTCTAACTAAATTTATTTTTATTCTTCCTTCACACTAATGGCAAAGATTTATCTATAACCTATTTTTCATGTAAATCAATGGATCTAAATTATTAATGTCTTGCTTGTATAAAAGATTGATAGTAAGGTATTTGATTATCAGAAAACTAATAACTATTATGAAAAAATGGGACGTGATGCATTTTTTCATTCGAGCTTTCTATTTGAGTTTTTCATCTAAGTTCAGTGTGTCCACGATCTGAGTTTTAGTAATTTTCTCTCGATCCGAGTTCTCGGACCGAGTTCTAGCATCGTGGACACATGCCTTTAGATATCCCGTCAAGCTTAACCATCATTGTCGCCGAGCCTTGAGAGCCGTATACACCTCTTTTCGTACCTGGAAGAAATAAAGATATATTTTGAGTCAGTAACCCTATTCTATGTGGTGTTCGAGATCTTATCCTATCCTTTTCGATAAATAAGTGAGGAATAAGAACCCACAGCTTGTATAGGCATCTCATGCTAACAAAAGAAGAAAATATAGAGAAGAAGTGAGACGGAATATCCGTGTCCTAATTGGTTACGTACCTCGCTTGCACATGTGCAGTTCATTTTGACATACGCTGAAATCGGGAGAGTTGCGCTACTGTATATACTGTGGTATAGTCTTAAGATGTCATAAATCAATCACAGAGCCGTATTAAGGTCATTGCGCGTGAAAAAGTTTTAGTCATAATCGTAAGTCCATAAGAGAGGTGATCAATCACAGTCAAGTATTATTATGACGTGAGATTCATCGATATAGAATTCTATATGTTGATGGTGAAAATACTTGATTTGGGCTGCGTTCCGATATTTATTGCCAGTACTGAAAATATATAGTTCATGTCACGTATATTATAGACTTTCACTACTGGCAGTGAATACTAGTTGGAACGTAGCCTTGGTCAATTTGCTTGTGGCTTTACAATTATGACCAAAATTTTTTTATGTGCAATGATCTTTAAGACATTACTTAAAAAGAGCTTAAAATAATATGAATATGATTATGAATATCGGCCTATATATCGATACTCAAACAATAGGGAGAAAACTTATCAATGAGAATCGATGCTAGCAATATATCGATACATATTGATAGTCGTATCGATACTTTTGATCATTATTATTTAGAGACTCTTTAATAAGAATCGCAAATAACGTCAAAGTTAGATCGGCATTTCCATTTTTCAATAAAAAACCGGAAGTAACGTGGCGCAAAATTTAATTTCTAAAATATGGTGTTTTAAATAAGAAAAGAAAAAAATTTCATAGATAACAAACTTTTATTTATTTCTCAAATATTATGCATCGCCATTGTTTTGCTATCAAAATATGTAATATAACTTTTCTGACTGTATTTAAACATGTTCTAGCAACTTATAAATTAAGAGATACAATGAAAAAATACAGGAAACAGGAAACACAGAATAGCAACAGATAACAGATTTCGATGAATCAGAAACTGTGAAGAATATTGGAAATATTTTTTCATATTTTTGCTGGTATTTTTTGCTGAAAAATGAAGATACCGACCTAACCTTGACATTATTTCGCGACTCTTATTAGAGAATCTTTATTATTACTGTTCGGAGAGCTAATTGATAGCGCTATCAAATACTATCATGACGTCATATCGATAGCATGTTTACATTATAACTTCACGCTATCAACACTATCGCTTCTGAGAAAGTGCATTAGTAGCGTTTGATAGCGTTAGGGTTATAACACACAAAGAAAACTTAAGCAATAAGGAAACAACGTCATGGATTTGCTACTGCTTATTGACTTACTGTTATTGCCTTACGTTCTCCATATGTTACGTTCTCCACTATAATTCCACTATAATTGACTGATTCGCTTACTGCTTTTCTTTTTGTGTGCTATGATCCTTACTGCTGATTGCACACAGGACGCAGCAAAGTGGAAACGCGACAACGCGGCAACGCGATAGTCAATCATCGTCTTGTTTTCTGATATGTAATGAATTATATCATGATTGGCTACCGTGTTGCCGTTTTGCCATGTTCTATGTGCAACCAGCCTTAATGTTTGCGAGCTTCACGAATAGTAGTTAACAGTGAATTGTCTGTTAATCCGAAGATTTTGAAGTTTTTGTTAAATTTAAGTGAAGAATTTAAAAGATTAAAAGATTAAAATTTAATTTAATTAATTTAATTTTTTATTTTAAAATTAAAATTTTTTTAACTTTGTTTTTTGCATAATTTTCGATTCTTGGTATATGTCTTTTTGAATTTTTATATTTCTTTCTATTATTTTTAATTCTTCTTCATTCATACGAAGATGCGCACTATCTGCTCATTAATTTTTGACTGCTCTATTTCGCACAGAAATATAATCCTTAAAAATTTATCGATACGGAGATGCTACGGAAATGCGCACTCTTTAATTACCAAATTTGACTACTCTCTGAACGCTCCTTAGAGTTCATATATACCCACGAATTGGCTCGAATATTCCAGCAAGGAAGTATTGTATAAACCAGCGCTCGGAATTAGTTGAACATTTCGGTCCGATTTCGAGGGCGACGCTTACAGTTTCCCCATCACCGTTCGAGTCTTAGCGGCCGAGTCGCCGAACGGCTGTGCCTCAGGAGCGTCACCCAGAAACATGCTTGTACGCCTTTAGCCTCAAACTGTCACTTAGATATCTTCTTTGCTAAATTATTTTTATTTTTATAAATAAAATAAAAATAATTTAGCAAAGAAGATATTTGAATTTTCTATTATTAATATATTATATTGTGCTTTATTTATGGGTGTTCTTTTTTCAAACGTAATATGTCAAATATCTCAAAAAATATAAAAGATATGGAAAAACATTTCAGATAAAAGTTTTATAGCTTCGAAGAGGAAAGATGATAACATTATCAATTTCATTATAAATAGCGCCACTTTCGAGATTGTAAACTTTACACCAATTGATTTATCTTGTGGCGGTCACCGCCACTCTGGCCCAGCAACGAGCGCGCCGGCGCGTGCCGCCGCGCTGCCACGCGCCGACACCGTGGGCCCGCGCACGGGAGTGACACACGCTCGCCACGAGATGGCCAGCCGTCCGACCGTCTGCTCGTGCGCGGAAAGCAGTAGGGCCCGCTCGCGCACGAGGGTGATACACGCGCTTGCCACGAGATGACCAACCGGACAATCATCAACTCGTGCACGGAAAACCACACCGCCGCTATATAAGAGCGGCTAGCACCAGCGACCGGCACTACCCCTCAGTGCGCTTTGGGGCCCGTACATGGCTAAAGAAGCACTGAGGTCCGACCGCTTGCAGTTAATTACACGGCCTTTTTTGCGGCTGGCGTTACGACCACTCATAGGTCGTACTCCCCCTCGGTGACCGTTCACGCCATAGAGGGACTCCTTACCCTCCGACGCGGCCGTTCACGCCGTGCCTCCTCTCGCCGAACTCTCCTCAGCGGCCGTTCACGCCGTTGAGCGGGACTCTAGGCATCCCTGCCGAGAGGCACCTGGATGAGCCACCGCCGCAGACTCCGGAGGAAGGCCACGCCGCAGAGACAACGCAGGAGGACATCAGCCGAGGACCAGACTCCGCCACCACGTCGCAGCCACCTCTGCACAGCCGCCGACCTCGCAGCCGCATCCGCCCGTGCCCTAGCAGCCTGCTGGCCGCCATCACCGCGGGGAGGCCTACCCCCGCCGCCAGGACCAGCACAGAGCGGACATCCCGGCTGGGAGGACGACGAGACAGCCAGACACCGACGCATCCCGGAACACCGGCGACACCGCGCCGACCAGAGCCCGCGCCGCCAGCGCGGAGGAGTGACCATCGCCCCACGGCCTCGGAGCGAGAACGATTAGTCGAGTTATTTGGCGCCCTCTCGACTTCCTCCTCATCAGCGGATAGCCACACGTCCGGCCCAACATCACGGACGCCACCGCGTCCGAGCGCAGCAGCTCCGCGGACCTGCCCGCCTACGCCGGGCCGCAACATTCCACTTTCCGGCCCGCAGGGACGCACGCAGCGAACCAACTACCCCGCAACGGGCGAGGTTCTCGCTCCAGATCGCGGCACATCGCTGCCCGTCGGTCCCAGGCTTTACCGGACTACGACCGGAGCCCACTAGCAGTCCGTGGCGCCTCATACCCCTGGACCTGGGGAGCATCACGCGGGGAACGCCCCGCCGAGACCATCAGCAGCCTTCGTTCCACGCCGCTTCTCAGACCGAGGCCTCGCCATCCGTCGAAGTCGCACTGACGACCCGAGCCAGGACGACTCACCACGGCGGAGCCGGTGCCCGCGAGAGACGCGCACAGCGGTACCGGGAGGAACCTCGCGACCCGGTCACCACCGGAGGCACCTCGTATACGCGGGGGACACAGACCCCCCACGCCGCGCCCCTGATGTACACGACGTCTTTCTCTATATTAAAAATGTATAAAATGTACTTGTGAGAATCGCCTATTTCTGGGAACCAGCACGACAAACCTTCCTTTCCCTGTCGCCCATTCCGCTTTGCACACTCGAGAAGCAGACAGCGGACTGGTTGCGCCGGAGACTCATCAGATGCACAACGTTTTCATTGGTGGACATACGAACCACCACATTGGTGTACCCAACCACCATAATCTCATTATTCTGTCATAATATTTCAAAATATTAAGATACATTTACCAAAAAATGATTGATTTATTTTATGTTTTATGTCAAAATACGACGAAAAAATAAGTAAAAAATATCTCGTAAATTAGTAACTTTTTAATTTGTGTCTTAATATTATATGTACAATATTTTTATATCCAGAATAACTAGAGGAATCATATTGCATAACAAAAAGTATATGATTCTATTTAAAAGAATGGCAATCATAAAAAATCGAAAGTGGCGCTATTTACAATAAAATTGATAATCATCTTTCTTTCTCGAAGCTATAAAACTTTTATTTGAAATGTTTTTCTATATTTTTTATATTTTTTGAGATATTATGTTTGAAACATATTATGTTTGAAAAAAGAACATCCATATAATATATTGAAAGATATTTATTAGGTTCGGAAAAATAAACGGAGACTAACTGAATTTGAACTCGGGATCTCTCGTTTATTAATCTGACACTTAGTCTGCACGACCACGACGACTCTTCTCTGTTAGCTGTTTATATTCCGAATCTTTTTCATGACCGCTTATGGTCGTCTAATTCTTACAGCTCGGCCATTCTAGCATTACATTCGTCCTGAATGTACCGAGTCTTCATCTACCGGAATTTTTATCCGGAAACTTGGAGCTTCTGCTCTCGAATTCGTTCACTTTTTGAACAATCGACACGACATTGGAGTATTTTAACTCCTTCAATTGGTTCATTTTGAACAACATACAAGCGACACACACAAAATCGACTGAATTCTCTCTGTCAAGTAATATAGGCTGTATCCTCTCTAAGATAACATGGGCTGAATCCCACTTCTGAGATGAAAGATATTTATTAGATTCGGAAAAATAAACGGAGACCAACTGGATTTAAACTCGGGATCCCTCGTTTACTAATCTGACACTTAGTCTGCACGACCACGACGGCTCTTCTCTGTTAGCTGTTTATATTCCGAATCTCTTTCATGACCGCTTACGATCGTCTAATTCTTACAATATAATATATTAATAATAGAAAATAATAGCAAATTCAACATTTTATTTATAAAAATAAAAATAATTTAGCAAAAAAGATATCTAAGTGACAGTTTGAGGCGAAAGGCGTACGAGTATGTTTCTCACAGGACGACGCTCCTGAGGCACAGCCGTTCGGCGGCTCGGCCGCTGAGACTCGAGCGGTGGTGGGCAAACTGTAGGCGTCGCCTTCGAAATCGGATCGAAGTGTTCAACTCCGAGCGCTGATATAAACTAACATGACTCTGAATTATTTTTTAGGAACCAATTGTAAGTTTACATGCTCGTTCGACATATCAAAAGAAAACAGAATCTGTAATTTGATATAAAAAATGCCATCTTTAAGAGAGAAATTATTTAAAATTTTT